CGCAAGGCCTAGCGGCCCGTCTCATGCCGATATTCGGATTCAGCACTGTTTTTTTACCTATACTCCACTAGATTTCATTAAAAAAACGATTGGTCAGTTACATATGTTCCCTCGTGAGTTCAAAAGTGATTTTTAACCTCAAGAGGTTTTCTCGTAAGGATTTTAACGGACAATATCGGAGCAAGTAAGATTTGACAATGAAGCTCCTCCAAATACTATGACGCGAACAGTTATTGTGTAAGCTATTGAAGTCGTCTAAAATCGATTTAAATTCCTTGTATGGAAGCGAAAAGCTTGCAAAAAATGAGTAAGTTATGAGCGCTTGATTACACAGAATATTTTTTCTACTGTTCTTTTTGTTCTCTTTTCCGTAAAGAAACAGAATACGACAAATGCGAAGCAAAGGTCAATAGAGATATATCTTAGGTATAGGTATATGTTGTAGGCAAAATTAACATTCAGCCAAATTTTAAATTAGATTCTCGATTTTAATTTTGGCTAGCCAAGTTCTAAATTCGGCTAGCCAAACTTGAAATTTTAATTTTGGCTACAACATCTACGTTAGAAAGTGGCTGTGCTGTGTTAGAAAAGGCAGGTGATCCAGCTTTTTGTTAAAATGACAATTAACTTACTGATGCCACGTAGTACCATTACTACTATCGTATCTGTTGTTTGAACAGGCCGTTTCTTTCGTCTCAAATACGATATGAGTAATGAACTCAAGTGAGTCAAAAGAGTTGTCAGCCCACCGATTAAACCAATCGTCGTCGTTATCACATAGACAGCATCACCTCGCTTGTTGTAAGTATAAAGACATGAAGCAGGCCTACATGCCTCGAAGTATGAATCAAACGAGATTTCGTCATTCCACTGTTCAATCATCAGCTGTTCAACAATATCTTGAATCTTAGTTGTGACACTGTACTGACTTTGTGATTCCGTGTAACTCATTGCTGTCGCATTAAAGGGAAACTGAGAATTTAAACCGATCAGCTGATTAATGGTATCTAAACACGATTGATTAAAATAACATTCAAACGTTGACAGAAACAATGATTCAATTGTGAAACAAGCAATATAAAAGCCGGGCATGAGGAACAGGACCTCAGCTTCCTGAAATTCCCACAGAAAGACACCACCCCATTGACCGCAAGTAATTGGATATTGTTTACATGAACAATCTGTATAATTGTAGGGAAAGTAGACTTGATACAATGAATAACTATCGTTGACGGTTGAATAGCCATAGTTTGTTTCTATACCAGCCAGCAGTGCATTACCAGCCATAGTCTGTCGATTCATTGAGAGGAGTTGGAGAAACGAGTTGGCTGTTGCTCGTTTGAACAGGTTGATAATTTGCTTTGCCTGAGAGTCAAATAGATCCCTTTGCTGCACATTTTTCGTGACGTACTTTGTTGAGTTGAAGGTCAATAACTCATTGTTGATTGTCTCCAAGGAGAGATCACAGAACGTTAAGACAGTTGGAAAGTATGACAGACCGATACTACGGATATCCAGTGCATAGGTAGGAATTCCTGTTCGTAAGTAGTTTGACCATTTACTTGTCACGAAATCGCTGGAACATATCTGGTGGAATGTGGGTCTAAAGGAAATAAACTGTTTCTGTTCAACTGAAATTGAAGTGCAGGGACAGACGAGTGTTTGCGGATATTTCGCTTGGAGTTCTGTGTATTCACCGACTGTTGGTTCTGTGACGGTCACCGTTTTTGTAACAAACGCTAGTGAAGTGTAGAGAACGAGAATAACGAGAGAAACTGAGATTGAGACGATGAAGAGCCGAGTTGATAGACGTTGATTGTGGAGGTGATACTCAGTTTGTTTTTCGGGATCTTTGAAGAAGTTCAGATTGAGAACAAACTTTTTGATTTTTGTTGATAGGGATGAGCTGTCCGATACAGATTTCGATTCTACAAAAAACGAAAGATGCATTCAGCAGCAGGCCTCTCGTAAGTAAAGTTCTTTTGAGATACGAACCTGTTGCATCTGAATCGACTGTGGCAATTGCGACTTTTGGTGTTGCACGTCTCGTACTGAGTTTCTTTCGCACAGCGGCGACCACAGGCAACGTGAGCAGCATCAGAATTGTCACAATCCCACCGAGAAACCCAATTGTCGTGGTGATCACAAAGATAACATCAAACTGCTGAGCATTAGTGTATGTACAGCTGTTTGGATTGCACTCATCAAAGTACTGAGCATACGATGAATTGAAGAGCCATTGGTCCACCATCAACTTGTTGACAAGTTCACCAACTGTTGGCAGAGGAGGAGCTGAAGAAGGAACGTTGAGTGGAATGGGAGCAACAGCCAACGGAGATAACGAATCAGAGAGATACGTATTCAATTGAGATATACAGGAGGAATTGTAGAGACACAACAGATCTGATTGTAACACGCCGTCGAGAATGAGACAACCAACGTTTACACCAGGTACAGTGAACAACAGTTGTCCTTCGATTCGCGGAGCAATGGGTCTGGATCCATAATTTGATATGTCATCTAATGATTTATTTTTAATAGAGATTTTGTAGATGCCGGTCGTTGTTTTGCAGTAGGAGGAATATTCACAGGAACAGAAACCACCATCGTCAGATGGATAGCGTCGATCGAAGAAGTTGTCATACCATTCGCCATCATAGTATATAGTATACAAGTGAAAGTTTGTTTCCAGCCTATTGACGATGGTGTTGCTCTGAACTGTTGTACGCAGTGAGTTCAGCGATGTTGAAAAGGAATTTGTCGTGGTATTGATGAACTGATCTCGTACTGCTTGAACGCTGGCTAAGAAGGTTGCTTCGGAAACGACACTTTCCGTGAGTAAACTACTTGAGTAAAATTCGATTAGCTGGGCGTCGATTGTTTGTGAAACGAGGCTGCAGAGTGTTTTTAACATCTGGAAAAACGCGTAGGCTGAGTGGCGAAAGTCAAGGAAGTAATGATACTTCATATCTATAAGCGGACGATAGTTGACATAGTTCAGCCATGCGTCACTCACGAAGTCACTCGAACAGAATTGGTTGAATTTGGGTGTGAATGAGAGGATGAACGTGCTGTACTCGTTCAAAATAGTTGTACACGGGCAGACCAACGTGTTTGGATGCTTCACTTGGAGTTGTTGGTACACGGACACAGTCGGTTGGGAAACAACGACAGTTTTCGTAATGTTAGTTAGAGAGGAGTAGAGGAGGAGGGCGATGATTGACATGGAGGCAAGAATGAGGAAGATAATAGTTGAGATTCTTTGGTTCTTGACATCTTCTTCACTTGTTTCGTCGACGTTTCTGAATAAGTTAAAACTCCGAATCGCGGAGATCAAACCCATTTCTGAGAAAATAATAGCTGAGGACTCAAAAATTAAAGTATGTTCCGAGTAGCAAACAAAGTTACAAACTAAACTCTCTCTCTATTAGTGAGTGTCAAAGAGATATCCCGTCAAAGAAAGTTTTCGTTTAATTAAACTTCACATTTTGCTCTTCGAAGTTTAATTAAAGTACTTTTTCCAATGTTTTAAGTTTGACAGATGAAAAGCGTGTGTTCACACTTTCTATAGGCTTAGAAACTGTTGATTGACACAGAACAGTGGACAGACACAGAACAGTGGATTGATACAGAACAGTGGATTGACACAGAACAGTGGATTTAGTTTTGCATTTTACTAATTATTTATAGAAATTCTAGCTCGATTTTCAAGAAAGTTGGAAAATCCACCTGGATTTTCTAGACTGTTGAAGGTTCGATCTTCTAGAATCTAGAAACTCCTCAGCGATTTTATATATGAACTTTTCGAAAATCGAAAAGTCGAATTATTTTCTACTTTCTAGAAAATCGCTGAGGATTTTCTAGATGATGAGAAAAAACATTTGGAGTGAGAATGCTGATAATCAGAGGCTTGCAAAGTAGAAATGGTGAAAATCTTTTAAAATCATATCAATTAGATTTTCCAACTCTTTGATAGCCAGATGTGGGTGCTTTCTGGACAACGTATTTGTTCCAATGAAAATGCACACTTTTGTTTGATTTTCAATTAACGTGTGCTTGTTTTTTTCATAAAGTTGTATCAAACGATCAATCGTACATCCACTGAATGATTTAAAAATATTTTTTCGTTTTCTTCTGATGACAACTCAACGACTGAAATATGCTTTATTAGGCTGCTTCCAAGTAGCAACATTTCTCTCGTAATCTAAAATTACTTTATAAAAATATTCGGTAAATCATTCATCAGCCGTATAGTGCCACACAGTGTTACTAATGACAAGTGTACAAGCGAAACCAAAGTGTATGTTGATTCTTTTTTTTTTGAAAATACACTCCGATATGCACTGCGTCTGAAAAAGTTTTACACAGACTGTACTTTGAAAAAGTATTTTTTGCTCTTTGCTTAAAACTTACTGTGGTTAAAAATAATCAAGTACATTTTGTTTTCATGGCCATCATGAAAAAGGAATAGTTTTTGATAAAAGAGGTAGACTTAGACCAGCAGTTTTCCTAAAAAAAAAATTTTCTTTCCCGTTGAAGTTTCAGCCGAACAAGCTCTAACGATAACTTTCATTTCTTTTGTTCCGCGCTTATTATTCATGGCCGTGGCTGCGTCTACAGAAATGCTTCTTTACACCCCATCTCCTACTCGTGATTCGTTAGTATCCACCAGTCATATGTAACTCACAAAAAACTGATCGATTAGTCTTCTTAGAAAATCGAATTCGATTTCCCAACTATTTAGAAAATCGCTGTCGAATTTCAAGAACCTTGAAAATTCCTTATAGAAAATCGATTTCGATTTTGCAGAATCTGGTAAATCATTTGATTTTCTAAAAATTAAGAAATGGAATTCGATTTTCCAACTTTTTAGAAATTCCTTATTGATTTTCTGAGAAATGAGAAAACTCAATTCACAGAAGATTGAGCGCATTTTCTATGAAGTAGAAAATCAACATTTTCTAAACAGTCAGAAAATCGCTGAGGATTTTATAAAAGTTGAAAAACCCTTGGCAATTTTCGTGATTGATTTTTTATCAAATAAAAAATAATTCCAAATTACAGTGTACCTCCTATTCAATCACCGTATAATCCATAATTAAGACGTATTTTCAAACTATAGTGCTTATAGGTTCATTACAAAATGAATGAGAGTCCTTTTGTTCATTTTTCGGTTAGGAAAGAGCGTTCGCAGACAACTATTGTTTCTCTTTTTGGTTAATATTAGTCAGCTTTCTTTTCTTTTAACTGACAAATAATTGCCTCTTAATGCAACATAACACTTATTCATTTTATTGAAGAATAACCTTGCACAAAAAAAAAGAAAGATAGGAGAGAAAGATTTTTCCGTGGAACCAGAGAAGTTCACCACATTTCCCAGTTATGCTGGGTTAAGACACGCTATGATTGAGTGCAGTCCAGTCCTAGCATTTCCCTAGTGAATGTACTCAAGTGTGAGTACTCAAAAAGTACTCTGATAGAAAAACCGGACGAGTACTCATACGTACTCATACATTTTTTTACTCACTTGAGTACTCATGAGTGAGTAACAAGTACTCTGAGTACGACTTTGAGCACTCATGCTTGGGTATTGTTGAGTACTCATACCACTTTCGGCAAAATACTCATGAGTATTGTTCATCTGATATTTTCATATAGAGGAGTGATCTCAGGTA